CCGGCTGTTAGCTTTGCTTAACGATATCCATCCGTTACTGGTGACTCAGCGGGCGGGCCAATGATGCATTTGTTTCTTTTCTTTTGTATTGCGACACAATAGCTGTCTTTTCCACCTTTGGCTAACGTGTATGATAGTCATGATGATGTGGTAACTGCGAAGGTCGGTGCAGGGTCATAGTAAAAAATGTTGGAGGAAAAACAGAAAAAAACCGAGTGTATTTGAGAGGACAGCAGAGACAACAATGTGGATTAGATGTGGAGCGCCCTATGACATGTCACAAGAATATTGCGGCCGTGGATCTAGAGAAGATGACTCGGAGTGGCAAAGTGTAGGGCATGTCTAGTCATATGGAGACACAAGAAGACGAAAATGGGGGATGTGATGGATGTGTCATATCAGAGTGAACGGATGGACCAATCGAGAGAGCCAGGCAACCAACTGGAAACGGGTGTAATAGATTCGATTACTGGACACGGATCGATCGACATCGTATGAGTTAATCACTGTTTGTTTAACTGTTAAAGAAGAAACCTTATCGGCTCTTATGCGTCCTTACTTATAGATGTGAAAGGCCCATTTATAACGAGAAGTTCCGCCTGCCATACATGCTGTTATTTGCGCTGAGCTTGCTTTGCCGAATAATCGCTTGTCCCTGAAGGACTGAGTTTTGCAACTGAGGCTAGTAGACAGGGAGTCACCTTGTTAACATTTATATCTGGTGGGAAATCCGTGTGAGCAACGAGCGTGTTCGACGCCTTGTTTACGGCACATGAGAAGGAAATGAACCGCTCAGCACCCTCATTTCATGCAGCAGGATCCGATGGATCGGCGACGCGTTACCCATGCCAGCCCACCGGCTCCCACGGCGTGCGTTGTTTGTTCGCCTGGGGTGTGGATGGAAGAAGAGGAGAGGTGGCCAAGCGATGACTGGATCGAGGGGAATGAAAGCCATCAATTCGAAGCTAGCCTCGGTTGGGGTGTCACGACTACCTGGTTGGAGTCCGAAAGATGAGGAACATATTTGGCTGGATACACTTACTGACATGGCTAGGCGCCGACCTCAGTGGAGTTCCAGCTGTGAGTTTCTTTTCCCTTTCCATCCATTTAAGCCTCCCCTTCCAACCACGATCTCATTTCGTAGCCGGCTGGTAGCTTTCCTGAACGACGCCCATTCGTTGCTAGTAACTCAGCTGACATGAAACAGTTGCATTTATTTTCTTTTTTTCTTTTATGTTTTGTGGCACGGTAGCTGAGGTGTTTTACACCTCTAGCTAAGGTGTATAAAGAGGATGCTGATAATGATCAAGCGAAGCCAGAATGGGGATTTCAAACAAATAAAACATATTTTGGGGGAAAATAAACACACAAACTTGACAGGGAATATGCAACCGAATAACAGAACTAAGCAAATCAGAGAATTTGGAAGAGACTTCATCCAAGTTAAGAAGATCTTATTTAAGTTTGTCGGTGTAATCCAACTGTGGTGAAGAAGCTTGATGTATGCGGAAGCAATCTCAGCATGAGACGTCCTTTGCTTATATATATATATATATATATATATATACATATATATATATATATATATATATTACAAACCACTGTATGCAATATGTTCTATTACTAAATATACCTGGAAACTTTGTATGCATCTTTTGTGAGCCGTGGTTCCACCAATCACCCTAGTCCTCTCTTCTTCCGATGTACTTAATTCAAAATATTTTTCTTATTCAGCTCCTACTTATTTCACTCTGTAGTATAGCTAATGAGAAGAATAACGTTTAGACCCATTGTGGCTTTTTCTTCGCCTTTTTTCCATAATTTTGGTTCTGGCTTGCAAGTATTGCGCAGAATGTTTATCCAGTCCCCGCTACTCATATGGCGAGTTATCCGGCTAGCTATGAATCAGGTTTGGTGACCCCGCTCTAGTTACTAAGAAGCTGTAAGGCTAGACGCCTTCCTGCTCTAAACTTAACAATAATGGGAAAAACAGGTATCTATGATGCGCTTCGCACTTCCTTGGGAAATTTAAATGAAGGCTACAGACAAAGACAGATGAAAACAAAGGTATTCGACTTTAGTGGAAATGATCACAATATTAAACTCAGTAAAGGCTACAGTGGTAGACTGTATGTATTTGTGGTGGCTTCAGAACCCAAAGTGAAGAGGATAAATATTCTCTCTACAATGGCAACCAGGGTGGAATCAGACTGGCTTACATTGATTCCACTTCTCCGAAGTCCAGAAAGAGAGCCGTATGAAGCTTGAGAGTAATTTGAGGTCAGCCCCAAAAGTACAAAAGCCTTGCTGTTTATCGCAAAATGTCCGGTATATCTTTCAAAAGCGGAAATGCCGTTGCCATACGCCAGTCCCTATTTGCACCATCAGAGCTACAAAAGCTAAATAAGGCAACCAACACAGCTATCGTTAGGTTACTATTAGAAGAACAGCTAGTAGACATTCATTTTTGTGAACGAGCTTAATAGCTATTCTTTATTCTTCCTATTTGCTACTTCTTGACTGTTGTTTAAACGCTCCACTGTGTTAGCCCAATGGGCACACACAAGTCATTGTTAATGGACGCTCATCTCCGTGTCCTCTTCAGCAGTGCCATTTTCAAGGACACATTCCATTGGTTTTTCTCCGCATCATTTTCTACTTGGTTAGGTTAAAGGAAAATTTAATTGTCACACAATTATGGGACTCGTTTTTAAGTTTTGGTTCTGCATTTCTTATTCTCGTTTGTTTCGTGACATGTTTAAACGCTACATTTCGTTATTCTGGTTGGCCAGTGCCCGTCACTGTAAATGGATGTTCGATTTACGCTTGGGGTCCCACGATGCTATTTTTAAGGACATATGCGATTCGCTCTTGAGTATACGATTGTTTATTCGGCGTTGTATTTCACGTTTTCCTTCTGTTGGTTGGCTCAAGTTTAATTTGGTAGCTTCCCTACATTTTGCCTTCAAAACTATATAAGGAAATGTGATTTCATGTATACAAGTCTCTTGCTGGCTCGTCTTTGGACTTCTTCTTACGGTCGTGGGGTGAAAGCGTCAGTGGCGACACAACAGTTACCAAGACACTTAACATCAATAGAGGCTTGTCATCATGTTTAGGCACATCGTTTCACGTGAACGGTAAATGCACATCAGTGTTTCACGATACCGGAAGTCGTGAAGTTAATATCCCGAAATCGTCCAGGAGATTTGGTAGTAATGTTGGCACTTGTAATATCTGAGTTGTTCCTGGACATGCGGCATCAGTTATTCATTTATTCATTAGACATGTTAGTTGGAAGTGGAAAACACCTCAGCTATAGTGATGCAATATATAAAGAAAGAAAAAAAACCTGCAACCGTAAAACGCTAACTGAGCCACCAGTAACGGATGGTCGGCATTCCGGAAAGTGAACAGCCAGCCACTGCGCCGCAAAAAAATAATATTATGCAAAATTTATGGAATAAGCTATGCAATGAGCTCGTGTTTGGAGGGGGAGGCTAGGCGAGAGAGGGGGGAGGCTAGGCGAGAGAGGGGGGAGAAAGAAACTCACAATACAAGCCACTGATGTCGGCTCCCAGCCATATCAGCAAGTGTTTCCAGCCAAAGGTGTTCATGGTTTTTCAGACCCAGACCAGGGAGCTGATACGCTTCAACCGAGGTCAACTTCATTGCTCTTGACAAAGTCATCGCTTAGTCACCTCTTCTTCCATTCACACCCCCGACGAGCAAATAATGCATGTCGCGGGGTCGGTGTGCTGGCATGCGCAACACGTGGCCCAGCCATCGTAGCGTGGTACGTGAAATGACGGTGCTGAGTGGTTCATTTCCCCTTCCTGTGTCATAAACGAGGTGTCGAAGACCCTCGTTGTTCACCCGGTGTTGCCACCAGATTTGCTGCGTCCCAAGTTTAAACCAATACATCTAAGCGCCGATTGAGTGTTCATCTGAGCACTTACCTTACCACCCACTGGTTCTTTACGTGAACTTCGGCGTCGCATGGAGTCAGACAATGATCGGCCGTTTCCGAAAGCATAAACTCTTTTCCTTTTACTGTCCCCGGACATCCCTAATTCACCCCAAGACCCATCGTTAAACACCCGTTGGAGCCACCTTGCATTCTTCAAACAAGCGGATAGATGCTTCAGTCATCCACTACATAGAAGAACCCACCCGGCTTTCTTTATAACGTTATCGGCGACCACAGTCAGTATTTGGTGTATTAGTCTCATTTGTTAGCGGTGGCTGACCTTTAACTCGGAAGAGTAGTGATGCTTTTGCACACCGTAAATTAAGCTGGTCAGTAACAATTCCAGTGTTTGGTTGTTTCATCAAGGCAGAGTTAATGAGTGTAAGGTGTGCGCGTACTAAGTTATCACGTGTTCCAAAGTATATACTCCAGATCGATTGGTGTCCTTGCTTTAACGGGCGCCATCTGCAGCTGATGGCTAGATGGTTAGTTTGGTTCAGTACATCTCGTGTTATTAGCGCTCGGTAACACGAATGGAGCATTTGTGGTCGGAAGGCTTTGCTGGTGAACTAATGTCGTGGCTCGTAAGCAAAGGGTAAAGCCGCGTACAACTGTCAGCCTGGCAGTCATCGGCAAAATGCTACGCAGTCTTCGATGAATGGCCACTTGAATTTGTTGCCAACACCATCACAACACAGGTCATCTGTAAAAAGTTTCTTTATCCGCTTTTCAGACCCACAGTAGAATTGGGTGGGATAGTAATGAGTTGATGACCCAAATTTTGTTCAGCCACTAATCTTAAGGAGGTACTCGGATAATGACTTTTATCTAAAAATGCTTTCCACATTTCCACAATTGATCAGGCTGTCAGCACCTGAACAACTTATCCATCTTACAAGCTAGTTATGTCTAAGTTTTCCACTCGGGATGAGTTGAAGGTTTTACGTAGAATAGTGCAATAGGATAAGATTCGCCTGACGAAAATGTAGATACCGTGTGCACCTACACTCATCTCATTAATATCACTCACGGTGAAGTTCTTCGCATATAGACCATCACAACGGCACACGGGACAGCAATCGTGACCAGCCCCTGTGCCTGTGGACCATGTGTAAATGCACCCGTAGCAAAATCGGTGTTCGTTTGGGCATTGATGAGCTTCCTTCAGAACGCAGTAACTAGGGAGGAATTGGACAGTAAATTACCGAGTGAGTAATGTTCGCGGTATGCTCGCCGTATTCATTTTATTAAGCACTTCATTAGATAGCATGGGTGTGACCACAGACAAGGTAAGCATAAACCATCGTTGTCAAGGTTATCAAGTGTGAACCTTGACGGAAATATGTGGACCGACGACGATTAAAATAGGATATTACCTTCAGCAAGATTTTCCAGAAGTGCAATCAAATGTGAGAAACAATGGGTTTGACGGGTTAGTTACTGATCTGTTGCAAGACACGCCAATTCCTCACCTGATCGCTCTCTCATCTCTGTATTTCTTTTGAAAACTTGCGATGAAGAAAGGACCCGTTAAAAAGCGGGTAAAGTTTGCAAAACCAAAATATATATGTTCATCGATAAAAAGGCGAAATCAAAATTTATTATTGGAAAAGAAATGAGCTCTTTAAATCCATGATTGCAGTTTGGGGAGCAATTATGATTACTGTTCATTGTGAGGAAAACTAAAGCGCCTAATCCTGAACGATCCTTGTGGCAACATTCTAATGAGCACCAGTAACAAGAGTGTTGATTAATAGATCTTATATAACCATGTGCAGGAAGCCGAGAATAAAATCTAATAGTATTTAAGAGAAAGTCAAAGTGGGCAATAGGGCAAATAAGTTTTGGAGAACGTTCCAGGGTTGTTAGACCCGAAGGGATATGTAATTTCGTCAACACTCTAAGCGATCGCATTGCTCAGCAGTTTCAGATAGTTACCTGTAACGTTGGTGTTTAAATTGGACTTCGGCAATCGATTGACGTAACTATATGAGGTCAATGTGCAACCGTAGGTGGCGCCCATTGAGAACTAGTGGCTTCAGCCTTTGCTGTTAGGAGAGGATTTGGGGGAATTTGACGCTCTTCGTGGCCTGGTGCGGTTGGGCTTCCATCACAGAAATGTCACGATTCAACCAAGATAGCTAAGTTTGGACAGCATATTCAGTGGCAGAGCACACTTGAGAGTCGTGCATCATTGGATGAGAGATGTACCAAAACTCTTATGCTATCATAGAGAATTTGGAGTGCTCAGGTAAGGTGACCAGAAGAAACTGAAATTTCACTGAAATGTCAGCGGAACTACATCTGTCACTGAATTGACGGAAACTGTGTAACGGGACTTAACTAAGAACCGAGCACGACAGATTAATATATATTCTTTAATTGTGTTGCTCTTGGATTAATACAGCGAGTCCAGATGAAATGAAATATTAGAAATTCACACCGCCCCATTCAAGGAGACAGTGTTAAATTGGCGAGTTGCCCTTGCATTCTAAAAAGCACACGAAACAGCAAATTACGTCGCAATAAGAATAGCAAGTTTATTTTCTCCACAAGGTGTAACAGTGAATCCTGCAACGCAAATAGGGAATGATAGTGCATACTCAGTGGTATCGGTGTAAGTTCCCCTAACTTAACGTAGTCCTCTCAATTTTTCCTCAAGCCCTTCATGTGCCGGCATCTATGACTACCTACTTTATTGTTTGTGGGTACATGTGCTCCCACATCACAGCAGCATGTTTGTTGATCAGATCTCACAGAGGGCCTACTACACGCCAAAAAAAATGTTCAGCTTATACGCCGTAAAGGCGCTTCGCTGCCGCGCGACCACCACCAGTTGCGCGCGGGCTGAGTATACCGCGAGGACGCCCACCCCTACGCGGATTCGAACCGGTGACCTTATGGTTGGAAAGCAAACGTGCCGACCACTCGGCCACCGGCCGACATGTCGGATCTAACGTCATGGGACCTTCGCTCTATCGACTCACAACAAATGTCATCGGCATATTCAGTGTAACCTTTACCCCGCAGCTGTCGCAAGGAAATTAGAGTCTCTCTGAGAAAACAGTGCCTCGAGAACCGACAAAATGTACTCACAGGTTCTCAAAATTCTTAACTCCAACATAGCATTATATCTTGCGGTCTTTTTCCAGTATCGAATCGCTTCCGATACATTCCCATCTAAGACAAAAAATGGAATCATTACTCCAATATACAAAGTAGGTACCCGATTGGATCCAGTTAACTATCGACCAAGTATGCTTCCTGTTTCATAAAAAGTGATGGAGCCGATAATCGCAGATGTACTGAAGTGACGTTTTGAAGTGTAAACCATTTCCAAACACCAGCATGGTTTCAAACACAGACGATCTTATCTCTGTAATCTGCTTCTTGCTCGGGGTTCATGGACCAAGGTGCTGACAGAGGAGTCCCCCTAGAGGTGATATACTTAGAATTTCCTAAAGCATTCAAGAGAGTCAACGATTCACTTCTCCTCTTAAGACTTGGTGCCTACGGTATCAATGGTTCCATACTCACCTGGTTGGAAGGTTACCTATACGACAGAACGGTCAAGGTAAGAGTTGCCGACACCCACTCTGAAAGCTTGTGCGTCTCCAGTGATGTGTCGCAAGGATCAGTGATCGGCCCCCTACTGTTTTAGTCTGTGTCAAAGACTTCCCAGCAAATATTCCATCCCAGGTGCGAATGTTTGCAGATGACGCTAAAATACAGAAAGCTTTCTGTCAACATCCGACCGTGTTTACCTCCAGAACCATTCCGACCGGATTTACGAATGGGCAGAAATGAACCAGCACCCCCTAAACCGCGCAAAAAGCCATTTGCTGGCGCTGCGCAGCAGCTTCAGCGACCCATACCTTTTAGAACATCACATTTTACAACACGTGACTAGTGAACGAGACTTTGGCATTGCAGCTCAACAAAGTCTGGGCAACTCGTGCTAATGTTAGAGGACAGAAAAGGCGGAAAGCTTTAATTTAAGACTTTTGAAGTAAGCTCATGGAGACTTTGAGTGACGGCTAGTACCCTTGCTGATCAATTCGTATAATCGTTCACAAGTTGAGCATGCGATTTAGGTCTGTTGTCCAAGGTAACAACAACACACTCGTCTGGTTGAGCAGCCCAAACGAAGAGGCACCAAGGCAACGCGTGGACTATTCGGTCTCCATTACGAAATGCACCTCCGTTTAATCGGTATGTAATCCTCAGAATACTGACGCCTTCACGGAAATCTCACGCTGATATACCGAATAGTAACAGAAAGCGATCATGCATGCAGATCACCACTGACCTAATTGTCCGGGCGAAGATAAGAATCGCTGGAAAAATTCTTAGTTCAGCAACTAATCGAATGTTACCGATTAGCACACCGATTTCGAAAGTTCTGCAATGTTCTGAGGCCTGCACGTGACTACCAACCTCTAGATCGGACGAATTCATATGAAGCAACTAATCTTAGTAGTTGACCTTCTTATTCCAGAAGTCGAAGGTCAGCAACAGACTTACGAATATAGCCAAGGTCTGCTGCAGTTGTGCAGTGTTTTGTTGACATCGGTTAAAACCTTATTTTGTCAGCGTCATTGGCGTTCTGATTTGTCTTTCGGTTGGGCTATAAGTTTTGTGGAGCAGTAGATTGGCTATTTCGCAATCGTATCCATTTGGAAGGTTAGAAGACTTAGCTCCTTACAAAAGATGCCCAGGTCACAACCTGAAACTATTGACTAGGCAAACCCGTTTAGATGGTAGGGATGTATTTTACTCATAGCCTGTCCTTACTGAAGTGCTTTGCTAGCATATGTGGATAAGGTAACAAACATAGACATTCGAATGACAGTTAGACTTTATTTCAAGTAAGAATGTGCCAACATGTGCAAACAAGCATCGGTAGGTTCCAGAGAAAAAGAAGAGACCCTTTGTCTTTGTTGGCTAACTCATGGGGATTTACCTGCTGCTAGTAAGGTTTGGTGAATATGTGTCCAGTGACCTTCAACTGTTTTAATGAGCGCATGCTCAACTTAATTCCAGCGTACACCGATACGCACTCAGAACATCTGACTTCACTAGTTGGCTGGTGGCTATGCGCTCACAGAATCGTCGTCGGCCTCCGCCAAAATGCACCTGAAGATCAACACATACAAATGCACGAGCGACAGTTTTTTTTACCTTGCAACCACCACGCTCGCCTGACCGATGTGCGCCGCCCTCAAAGCTGTAAAAGTACAGAACGCTAACCAACCCACTGGGTCAGGTAACGACACCAAATTGAATGGCAGAAAGGCGAAACCGAAGAGACTCCTATCGAAAGGCATTTGTGGGTTAGGAGAATGTCATCGGGTAGTAAAAATCGGTCTAGCTTGTTCGCACTGTTTGGAATGGTACCATACGAAATGTGCAAATGTGTCCCAACAACAGTTACGGGAGCGAAATAGCTCCTAAGATGCATTTTGGTTCTGTACTGCGTGTCCTACCATCCCACTCGTTAAATGCTTGCTTGTCCTAGCTGAGAAATGCGACCGGTTAATCGCAGAAGCAGAGCAGAGGATAAACAATGAGATTACTTCAATGGGAGCGAGTATGGACCACAGAAGCGTAGCGGCTGCTAAGCAACGGAATGCTGAACAAATCGCTTCCCCTGCACCGCAATCAGTCATGTCTCCATCTCCTTTGGTAGAACGCCGGGCGAAAACAGACTGTACTTACGTGAATCAAGCAGTACTCACAGCAAAGAAAATCAGGCACCACTCAAAACGTCTGGTTAAGCAAGCTCCACTAGACCTGACATCTAGTGTTAACAAGGATGGAGCAGCCAAACACCAACCTTTGGTTCCTGTAGCTCAAATATCTCTTGTCGAGACTAAGCCTCCCAGAACATCGGTTACATATGCAGAGATTGCTGCAAGGGTCCACCGAGAGGCCGCCGTTGCGTCCTCTGCCGTTGTAAACACCGTTAACGCAAATGGAGAGAAAACAGCAAACAATCACTTGTCAACAAGTCAAGACAAATGAGTACCATACCTTGTAGATCGATTAAAAAGGGATCTAACAACAGTGCTTGGACTGTTGTATGCTCAAATGTCCCTGAATCTACCGCCATCACATTGCGGGATAAGTTATCAGACGACCAAGACCAATGGAACTCATTGTGTATGCAGATGAGTATCAAAGCCAAACCCATAAACTTGTTACGAGTAACTCGTCATCCGAACTCGCCTCACCATGGTGAACCCAGACTTATTCGGGTACCTCTAGAATCCTCCACCGACGTGGAAAATGTTTTGCTCTCCGCAAGCGTGCTAAAACACGAATCCTGTGGGATACGTATCTATCCTGATGTCCCTTGGAGCGCGCGACAACCAAAACGAAACACCGAAGTGGGGCACAGCAAGCAAGACCGCCTAAACACAGTCTTCATACATGGCGTGCCAGAACATCCTTCTAACGAAGTTCAAGAGGACGGAAAGCACGATTTAGAACAGTGGCGGTTCATTCGTGAAACACTTTCTTTGGATGATGTTGTGGCACTATCGCTCACCAGGATACCTCTCTCATCCAATTATAGAGGATGCGGCCCTAGAATCCTAAAACTTGTGGTTCAGTCAGAGCAACAAGCAAAGGATGTTTTGGATCGATGGCGGAGAAATCGGAAAAATCTTCCTTCTGAAATTCGGTTAAAGGTCACAAACAATTCGCACAGCTCAAGTATTAAAGCAACTGAAGCAGCAAGCATCCTGACGAATGTACAGAAGTGTAACTTGACTGCTGCTTTAATTGACTCTGACGTAGGTCTAAACGAAGGCTGGGACGCACCTTGGCCGAATCAAGTAGCAAACGAGGTATCACTGACCCATCAAAAAAACGAATAACTGCCGACCTCCCATCGGTCGGCATTCTCCCACACTTGACAGCTTCACCTCTCTGCGGGCTTCTAGAGACCGAGAAACTGGCCTGCTTGTATACAAATGCTCAGGGACTTTCTAACAAACTGGCTGAACTGAAAGATCGCCAAGCTTCCGGATCGTATGATGTCATTGGTATCACCGAGACATGGTTGCACACGGGAATGAAGGACGCTGAAGTGTCGCTACCCGGCATGTTGTTGATCCGGAACGATAGGCTCACAAAAGGAGGAGGGGTAATTCTGTACTACCGAAACGACTTACAGTGCGAAGCCGTGGAGGATTCAGACTCGCAGTTCCCCGATTCTGTTTGGTGCCGGTTGCAGTTAAAAGGCAGGGACGCTTGCCTTATTGTCTTGGTGTACCGCGCCCCTAACTCAACACCCGAAATCGACTACCACCTAACGGCTGCTTTAAGGTGCAATTTACAACAAAAGTACACTCACATCCTTATCATGGGTGATTTCAACGTACATTGTTTAGAAGCCTCTGTCACGACCGGAGAACAATTCAAAACCGAATTACAAGATCTAGTAACTACTGCTCCTCTTTACAACCACATCACTTTGCCCAATCGGTTCAGAACTGGTAACAGGCCATCTGTGCTGGATCTTGTGCTTACCAACGAGGAGCACATGATTGATGCGTTGGTTTTAGACTGCCCGTTGGGTCGCAGTGATCACGCAGTCATCAGTTTCAACTTCGTCTTCTATGCAGAATATCGGAATGATAACGATGATACTGTGCGAATCATCACAAGGTACGACCGACTCGCCCAGCTAGTCAGCGCCACAGTACGCAACGCAGCATGG